GCAAGACATTGATTGCAAAACAAGGATCACACCTTTTGCTTATATGTATACATCTATATAGACATATATACTAGAACCACGCGCGCGCTTCGCGCGCGCTTAGCTTGTAGTCAATCCCGCGACCACGCGCCGCCACGGCTACCACCGCCCTTTCCGCCATCACCGCGGTCACGACCACTTCCGAATCCATGTTCATTCTGGGGATGACCACCCCATCCACGACGATGGCACTTTCCGCGACCACTATAGCGGCCATTGGTTCAAACTCTGCCTGTACCACCACCAATACCACTACCATTGCCACTGCCACTGCCGCGAATCCACGACCACTATCATCACCACCACGGGCCGCTACACGTCGGGTCCTGGAAGTCCTGTCCACGAGATTCGCTAGCGTGACTTGTTCAACGCGGGGGCCCTGGAGTGGGCCCGAAGTCCGAAGACCTTCAATGGGCCCGGTGTTTCGTCGTAAATGTTAGACGGTCCCGGGCCCCGTTTCAGGCCTCAGGGAGCGAAGGGTGGTCTGGAAGCTTCGGGAGCGGGAAGAGTATCTGAGGGCGTCTGGTCAGGGGGCCGTTGGGGGGCCTCCAGGGAGCTTGAAGGTTTTTGGGGGGTTTCTTGGGATCGTTTTGGGGGGCCCTTGGGGTCTCCTTGGGACCTCTGGGGGCGGAGGGCTTGAAATGTTCGTAGGGCATACTCTCTGGGCCCCTGCTTGGGGCCGTCCTGGGTCTTCTCGGGCCGTCTTGGGGACCTCTTGGGCTAGCCAGGGGCCCTTTTGGGCTGTCTTGGAACCCTCTTGGGCTGTCTTGGAGCGATCCTGGCGGCCTCTCGGGCCGTCTTCGTTCCCCTGGAAGGTCAAGAGGCGAACCCCTGAAAAATGTACGCTTTCCGGAGGCAGGGGGGCCATTTTTGCCTCTTGGGGCCCTCTTGGGAGGGCTCTTGGGGCCCTCTTGGGCTGTCTCGGGGGCTCCCGGGAGCCATCTTGGAGCCATCGTCGGCGCCTTTCAAGCTACATTTCGAGGCTTGTGTGCCCTCTTGATCTGTTTGGCGGCCTCCGGCGCCCTCGGGAGCCGTCCCCGGGGCGCCCCAGAGGCCCTGCTACCCCCATGCGCCGTCGAGGTCGCGGTCCCGGGCCCTCGGTCCTCGCCCCCGGGATATATATATATATATATATATATATATGGCTATATACATATATATATATATATATATATATATATATATCCATATATAAATATACATACATACATACATATATACATACATACATACATACATACATACATACATAGATAGAAATATACATACATACATACATACATACATACACACATACATGTATACATACCTACATACATACATACTTACATACATACATACATACATCATACATACATACATACATACATACATACATACATACATACATACATGCATGCATGCATACATACATACATACATGCATGCAAACATACATACATATTTGCATGCATGCATGCATGCATCGATACATAAATAAATACATACATACATACATACTTACATACATACATACATACATACATACACACACATACATACATACATACATACATACATACATACATACATACATACATACATACATATATACATACATACATACATACATACGTACATAGCTACACACATACATACATACATACATACATACATACATACATGCATGCATACATACATACATACATACATACATACATACATACATACGTATATATATACATACATACATACACGCATACATACATTCATACCTACATACATACATACATACATACATGCATACATGCACGCATGCATGCATATATATATATATACATCTGCATATATATATATATACACATATAAATATAGAGATATACATACATGTGCAGGTGTGCGTATTCTACCACATGTTGTGCGCCACGTTGAACGCACACTTTGAGTTTCACCAAATGGGCTGGACTTCAACGTCGAGAATTCCGTAATTACGCTTTTCATAGTCAGCCGACACGGTCGCACATCTTGAATCAGAAATGGCATCACCATGTGCGGGAAGCCCGTATGAACACCCTCTGCCATGACTGCTAATCCCTGCCAATCATCATCCCTGCCAAATCGCACGTGACGCCCAGCAGCAGAGGTGGAGAAAGACGCACACACGCGTTCGCATGAGGCCAGGAGCGCTCCACGCACCCAGCGGCCTGGGGCCGCCCGCGGCACCAGAGCCTCCTCCGGAGACAGCCGAGGCATCCGGGCAAGGCACGCCCTCTGAACTTCGCCGAGGCCGCGCAAGAGAACAGGTGCAGGCTACCCCAGGCCCAGCAGCAGCCGCCAACCCCCGTGCCCCTGCTGCCGCCGTCTCCTGCTGGCCGCCCCCCCCCCCCTCGACCAGGCTGCGGCCCTCCGCGGGCCGTCCCCCGAGGGCGGGATGCGCTGCGGGTGGGCCGCGAGGCGCGGGTCACCCAGCACGCCGACGATGAGCTCGTCCTTGCTGTTGTACACGTTGCCCTTGATGCTCAGGCGCTGGCAGCCTCAGCCCACTGATCAGATGGGAGCCATGGGAAAGGAAACGGTCTCTCAGCATATGCACACACCTGAGCGCTGCCCTTTTATCGCATATCACGCTGGCCATGTCCGCCCCTCCCGCGCCGTCGCTCTTCCATCCTCCCACTCCATTCCCTCCACCTCATCATGCTGATCCATGCAGAGACCTCCAGAAATCTCCAAGAAGCTTCGGCACCTTCCGATCTCCGAATGACGCCCCCAGGTAACGACAACAACGACGAAGGCGACCACGACCCATGACCTAACGACGACGGCCACGACCAGTTCCACGACGACGGCGACGACCACGACCAGGACGACCACGACCACGACGGTGGCGACCACGACCACGACCACACGACCATGAGCAGGACGACTACGACCTCTCGCAACAGGGCGAACTGACACAACGGCATATCAGAATTAGGCCCCAGACCCCTTCCGTCGTCCAAAACGCACCGGCTTTCCGAGCTGCGTCCAGCCGTGGCGACGAGGGGGCCCCCGCGAAGACCAACCACCGTTGCCTCAATTCGCCCTCGTCTGAACCACGACGACGCCCGCGACCACGACGAAGACCACGACGCCCACGACGACACCCACGACCGATACTGGTACTCCCCAGATCTCTCCCGGGGCGCGTTCTGCCCAGAACGTCGAGTCGAATCCAGCCGTGGCGACGAGGGCCTCCTAGCAGGCACCCGAAGGCCAAAGCGAGGAAGGGTTGGAGGCCTGGAAATTGGCACCAACACCAGCACAGGGTTGTGCCTCCACATGGGAAAGATAATCCTAGATGTCGGTGTTGGTGGTAATATTTCGGTCACCTTGGAAGCCAGAATATTACCACCATCACCGAGATCGGGATCGTCTTCCCTCGGTGGAGGCTCACCACCGATCTTGGTGTTGGTGTCAACCTCTAGGCCTGCGAAAGGGGTAGCCGCATCGGTACCTTTGCCTCCTCTGACGACCGAAGGGGACGACGACCACGACGACGGCCGCAAGGACCGCGGCGGCGGCGGCGAGAGGCAGCGGCCGAGGCTGCCGCCCGGCTGGACCGACTGCGCTGCGCCGGTGGCCTCTCCGGGCGCGACCTCGGCGAGCAGGAGGAGGAGGAGGAGGAGGAGGAGGAGGAGGAGGAGGAGGAGGAGGAGCGGGAGAATGAGGAGGAGCGGGAGGATGAGGAGGAGGATGAGGAGGAGGAGGAACGGGAGGAGAGGAAGGAGGAGGGGGAGGAGGAGAGGAGGAGGAGGAGGAGGAGGAGAGGAGGAGAGGAGGAGGAGGAGCGCAAGGAGGAACGGGAGGAGAAGGAGGAGGAGGAGGAGGAGGAGGAGGAGGAGGAGGAGCGGGAGGAGCGGGAGGAGGAGGAGGAGGAGATGGAGGAAGAGAAAGAGAGAACGCGACGCGAATCTGTTTGCAAAAGTCGGCCAGGTCCACGCTGTGAACAAACTCACACGCAGTCGAAGTTTTTGAAAAGAGGGGTGGGGAGGCGGGCAGGAGACACCCGCCCCCCTCGACCACGGCTCGTTTCGGTCCCAGGCCCGTTTCGGACCCAGGCTCGTAGACGCCTCAGGCCCAGCTCCCCTAGGACCCGGCTCGATTCGTGTCGGACGCGGCGCGTTCTCGCCTCGGAGCCAGGCTCGTTCGGACCCAGCTTGGTCCGGATCCAGTTCTCTTCGGAGCCAACTTCTGACGGACCCGACGCGCTGGCCAGCCCAGAGACCAGCTGGGTTCGGGGCGGCCTTCTTGCATCTGAGGTTACGGTGCGTGCTTCGAGGCTCTGGGGGCCAGAACACCTTCTTCTGGATGCCAAGCTTTTCGGCTCGCGGAATCAATCGTCAAGCGCCTTGGCTGATCAGCCTTCCCAAGCTCTCGGGTAAGCCTGACTAGACAAGAATGGGAAGCGCTAGAGGAGGAGTGGCCCTCGGCGAGGAGCGGGCGAGGATGAGGAGAGGGGGAGAGGAAGGGGGGGAGGGGGAGGAGGAGGAGGAGGAGGAGGAGGAGGAGGAGGAGGAGGAGGAGGAGGAGAAGAACAGGAGAGGAGGAGAATAAGAGGCGAGGGCGCAACCATGGCGATGGGGGGAGGTAGGAGGGGAGGGAAGGAGAAGAGTTTTCGGGAGTCGAAGTTCGGGCGTTTGCTTGCCAGTTCAGGGTGCCTAATGATCAACAGTCTCTACAGCTCAATACTGTCTACAAGTTCTTGTGTTGTTTCAGATGCTTGAAGGCGGGACCAGCCAGAAGAAGCACGGAACTAAATAATGTCTGACACGCGCTAGCGAGCAATCCAGGGGGTAGTGGCTTCGTGTTTCTTCCCTTGGAAACCACATTGCTGTTGTATGAGGAACGGACTCGGACATCTATGCCTTGCCTAAGCCCGTTCCATGCTGATGGCTTGTCGCTCTCAATCCCTCAATCCTGCTCCTCATCCTTCCGCTATCCTGTTCTCATACTCGCCTTGTCACTCCTATCTCCGTCTCCGATGCATTCCGAAGGAGAGCATATGTGTTGATGACTGTACATGTTTGCGTGGACTCGCGCCACTATTGCCTGCAAGAGGGCCAAACCGCAAACGATGATGATGAGGGGAGCGGGCGATGGGGGAAGAAGGTATTGATGACGATGCTGAAGACGATGCGGATGATGATGCTGATGATGATGATGCTGATGATGATGATGATGGTAATGATGATGATGCGAATGATGATGATGATGCTGCTGATGATGCTGCTGATGATGAAGATGATGATGATGATGGTAAGGATGATGGTGGTGGTAATGCTAATGGTGATGATGAGGATGCTAAGGATGTTATGATGATGGGGATGATGATGCGGATGGTGATGATGATGGTGACGATGATACTGCTGGTGCCGATGCTAGTGCTGATGATGATGACGAAGACCATGATGAGGATGTTCATGATGATGATGAGGAGGATGGAAATGAGGAATATGCTGATGATGGCGATGACGATGGGTACGATGATGATGGTGAAACTGATGATGATCAGGACGATGAGGATGGTGAGGACGGTGAGAATGATGAATGCGATGCTGATGTTAATGACCCTGATGACGACGACGATTGACGAGGATGATGATGCTGATGATGATGGTGATGACGATGAGAGTCCAGATGATGGTGCTGATGCTGATGCTGATTCGATGACGATGATGATGGTGATGGTAAGGATGATGATAACGATGGTGTTGCTGATGATGATGCTGATTTAGGTGAGGATGATGGTGGTGAGGAGGACGATGAGAATGCTGATGTCGATGTTCATGATGTTGACGACGACGATGACGAGGAGGAGGTTGAGGCCGCTGGTGATCATGATGGTGTTGAAGATGATGGTGATGATGGTAACCATCATCATCAGCATGATTACGATGGGGATGAGAATGACAATAATGCTGGTGATGATGATGGTGATGATGATGCTGACGATGTCAATGACGATGACCATGATGATGATGATGATGATGATGATGATGATGATTATGATGATGATGATGATGATGATGATGTCGATGATGATGATGATACTGCTGATGATGAAGATGAAGATGCTGATGATGGTGATACTGCTGATGATGGTGCTGGTGATGATGGTGATAATGGTGATGATGCTGATGCTGATGCTGATGCTGCTGATGATGATGCTGCTGCTGATGTTGATGATGATGATGATGATGCTGACGATGAGATGGCGCGCGGGGGGAGGGGGGGTGCTGGCTACGACGAGGAAGGGGGAGGGGCTCGGGGGATGTTATCGACGAGACGGAGGAGAGAAGAGAGGCCCGAGGTGCAGGGCAAATGAGGAGGGGGAGCACGAGGGGGGGAGGGAGGGCAACGATGAAGACAGGAAAGAGAAGGAACAGAAGGAGGAGGAGAAAGGATGAGGAGGAAGAAGAGAGAGGAAGAGGAGGAGGAGGAGGAGGAAGAGGAGGAAAGAGGAAGAAGAGGAAGAGGATGATGAGGACGAGGAAGAGGAGGAGCAGGAAGGGGACAGGGAAAGAGAACATGGGCGCCAGGAGTAGGTGAAATGATGAGACTGAGAGCAGGCTGAAGGAGAGGCGGAGAAAACGGACAGGAGAAGGTGGTGGAGGAGGGAGAGAGAGAGAGAGAGAGGAAAAAAAAAAAAAAAGAGAGAGGGAGAGAAAGAGAGAGAGAGAGAGGGAGAGAAAGGAAGAGAGAGAGAGAGAGAGAGAAACAAAAAAAAATAATAAAAAAATAGGGGGAATACATTGGAGAGGCAGTTGTTCAGGACAGCAACGAAGATAAGAAGAGTAAGGGAAGGGAAACAGAGAGAGAGAGGGGGAGAGAGAAAGATGAGGAGGAAGAGGAAAACGAGTAGGGAGAGAGAGAGAGAGAGAGACAAACAGAGAGGATGACGGTGAGGAACTCATTCGCTGAGACCGACGTGGACGGCACGGCCCAGGAGGCTGCGCTCCTCCTTCTCCTGCTCCGCCTGCTGCCGCTGGGGCTCATGGTTCTGCCCTTTCTCTCCCACATCACCCATCCTCGTCATCCTGCTGCTGCTCTCTCTCTCTCTCTCTCCTTTTCCCCCCCGATCCCACCAGCCCTCACCCTCGCCATCCTGCTCTCCTCCCCCTGCTACTCGCCCGACTTCCTCTCCCTCCGGAAGTACTGGGCTGGCACAGCACGGAGGCTCCAGCCGCGGACACGAACACATCCTACCTTGGCGAGCTCAAGGGAGTGCCCAGGGGCGAATTCAACATCAGAGAATACGCCAGGCCTGCGTTTACGGGCCGATTCAGCAACCCTCATGGAAGGCCCAGCCACGGTGAGCACAGCTGGGCGGAAAGCATCAGGGCGTGAGGCCAAAACATGTCCGTTGGCAAGCTTGTCCGCGTGCGGCCAACATGGCGAAGAAGAGGAAAACAATGATGAGAAGAAGACGATGAAGGGGCACGATGACAGAAAGGTCCGAGGCCCACGCGAGCTCAAGCGGAACTTCACAATCAAGGTGCATGCCTGGCTCGAGGCCGTGGGCAAGCATTCGCCCGTGTGAAGCCACAGCCGCTCGCCCTCGGCGACGAGCAAGAACGGCCTCGGCGAACGACGAGCGGAACCACGGCCCCCGCACCGAGCCTGCCGCGCAGCTGGAGGCCGAGCACCCCACGGCCCCGCTCGCCGCGCCCGAGGCCCGCGGAGCACGCCCGTGGGCGAGGCGCAACGGGCGGGGCGGCGGCGGCCGCCGCCGCCGGAGCTGGCCGCCGCGAGCACGCGGGCCCGCGCGCAGGCCCGCGAGCACCCGAGGGCTGCGCGCGCGGAGCTCGCTGAGCTCGGCCTCGGTGGCACCGCTGAGCACCAGCTCCACGGGGGCCGAAGCGGCGGCGGCGCAGGTCGCGGGGGCCACTCGGCGGCGGCGCCTCGAGGTGTGAGGTCGAGATGGAGATCTCGACCACCGGGGCTGAGGCGCGTGGGAGCTCCAGCCGAGAGGTCAGGGCAGTTGCGAAGGAGGAGGAGGAGGAGGACAAGGACAAGGATGATGATGATGATGAGGAGGAGGAGGAGGAGAAGGAGGAGAAGGAGAGGGAGAAGGTGGAGAAGGATGAGAAAGATGAAGAGGAGGAGGAGAAGGAGGAGGCGAAGAGGACGTCCTCCCCCTCCTGCTCCAAATTCCCCTTTAACTGCGCCTCGTGCTCCTCCTGCTCCCGGCCGCGGTAGCCACAACGCGGCTTTGGAGCGCTCGGCGACGACCCTCTCCTCCACCTGCCCCATCCCGCTTCCCCTTCCCCTCGTCCACTTCCCCTCCTCTCCCGCCCCCTCGTCCCCTCCCATCCTCCCCCTCGCCCTCCATCCCCCACTCCCTCCATCCTCCTCCCCCTCCCCCTTCATCCTCCTTTCCCTCCACTTCCCTTCCATCCTGCTCCCTCTCCCTACTCTTTCCTCCTCCCCATCTGCTCTGCGGTCCCCCTCTCGCTAGCACCCATTCACCAATCATCTACCACCTCGCTGCCCGCCCCTCCGTCAACATTTGCTTCTCACCGCGCGGCCATGACTCCACCATGCTTCTCCTCTCCATCCTCTCCTCCTCCTCCTCCTCCTCTCCTCCTCCTCCTCCTCCTCCTCCTCCTCCTCCTCCTCCTCCTCCTCCTCTCCTCCTCCCTCCTCCTCCTCCTCCTCCTCCTCCTCCTCCTCCCTCCTCCTCCTCCTCCCCCTCCTCCTTCCTCCTCCTCCTCCTCCCTCCTCCTCCTCCTCCTCCTCCTCCTCCTCCTCCTCCTCCTCTGCTCCCTCCTCCTCCTCTCGGGGCACGCCGTCCATCCACCGTGCCGGCCCTGGCGGGGCCCATCCTGGGCCCGGGCGCGGCAGGGCAGGGGCATCCCTCCGGCGTGGGCAAGGGGCGCACCTGCGCCGCTCCCGGGCCCGGGGATCTGAAGGGGCCCCGAGGACACACAAATTAATACACACAAAAAAAGGATTCCCCATCTTTTCCCATAGTTTCCGGGTTTCTGTCCTCCCTCCCACTTCCCATATGTTCCCACATTTTCGGGGGAATCGACGATTAATTGTGTCTGTGTGTTTTTCCCTCCTGAGGATCGGCCCGCCCGGGGTCGGCGATGCCCCCCCACCCCCGATCCTGCTTCCCCTGATTCCCATGCAGCGCCCCCTCAACTTCCTGTAGCCTGGTATTCTCTTGCACGGGGCCCCTCGCGTGCTTGCAGTTGGGGGGCATGCTCCGGATACCAGAAAACCTGAAGCATCCTGGCCGGTTGCATGCAGCTAATCAGTTGGGTCAACATGTATGTTTACGGGCTGCTGGATACGGCGCATGTGCAGTTTAGGCCCAATCACGATCATTGGAGATTTGACAATATCAAGAAGTCGCAGATGGGAAACTACAAAAATATCATTTCCGAGACGGTGCCTGCCGCCATGGACGTCACGTACCAACTTGAGCAGCGTGGCCAGACTATTTTGGAGAAGCCTACATTGGTGTACAGTAACCTGGAGCTTACACGTGACTTGACCTATCACTTTCGAGAAGGAGGTTTGCCAATCAAGCTTGCTGAACCTACGAGAGACCTGGGGATCACTACGACGGCAGGTAAAAGGAGATTGGCCCACCAGCTCAGGCAGCGTCGGGCGCAGGCCTCCAAGAGGGTCAAGAAAGTTAGTTTCCATAATAAGACTATCGGCACAACACGTAATCTCTACAAACCAGGGGTCCCAGCGGTGGGGTCTTGGGCCCACCAGGTGCTTAGTTTGACGGCGGGGCAAATTCGCTCCATGAGAGCCCAGGCGGCCATTTGGTCTGGGTGGTGGGCCCCTGGGGCCTGCAAGACCTCGGTGCTCTCCTGGTTAGCGCTGCCAAGAATGACCGTCAGTCTAGGCTTCGCTATGAGCAGTATCTACCCTTTCCGAAGATTGGCCTGGCCTCGATTATGTAAAGCGTTTGATGGCTTCTGAGACGTGGAATGAGGTGATGTGCATTTTCAGAGGCAGCAACCACAGATGGTTTCATGTCCGTGGTCCTCTCGGCTACGATTGCAGTAACCCTGGATATGGGTGCTGAGCCCTTGTCGCCAATTGTTTTAGATTTCCTGACGGCGCTGAGGTCCACCTTACTGAAGACGGATTTCCTCGTATGTTCTGGCAGCTGATCAAGAAAGGTTCGCGGCGAACTTTCCTGGTCGGCAGCTGCACGGCACTACTGAGGATCAGGCTTAGGAGCAGGAGGTGGTTTTGCTGTTGTTCGACGGTTTTGAAAACACTGGAGACAAACTGATGTTTTGAAGCCGCTGGGATTGTCAGAAACGTTTTGACTGCCCGCTGTCGGACCGAGGACCGACTGTCTCAGGCAGGGTTCGAGTCCTACACCTGAGGTCGGTGCCCTAGATGTGGATCGGCTGACAAAGCTGCGATCCACCGCTCTTGGCACTGCCCATGCAATCTCGAGCTCCCCAATACTACGATTGAGAGGTCGCAGCACTCACCATCGGAGGCTGTCGATTCACCTGAACTCGCTTGTCTCTGGCTTCGTAGCCTGCCGCCCCGTGAGGCCATCAGTGGCCATCTTCTTGCTCCGTTGGAGCTTGCTTGGGAGTGGGGTCGGCTGAGGGATGGAGCCAGGGTTCACGGGGGAGTCTGGGGAATCGACGGGTCGGGAGGTAAGCATCACACAGATTGGCGCCGCGCTGCGGGCGGGTAGTAATCCCCTCAGGCGAAGACGGGCTTCTTGACGGGGTTGCCTGTGGCACGCTGCCGACCAAGGTGCAGCCTGCTGGTCGAGCTGAAGTACTTGCAGTGGTCGAGTTGGCGAAAAGGTCGACTGGACATACTCGTGTGACCTGTGACAGCGTGGGTGCTGTGAGAGGGCCCAGGAAGCGCCTCTCGACGGAGAAGCCATCGGCCGTGCTCAGCCGGTGGGTGTCCCATCACATCGTGCTCAGGACCCGAGGGGCCTCGGCAGACGTCCGGTGGACTGTGGGGGCACCTCGCGCAGGCCCGGCGTAAGAACACGTGTATGTCCGATGGACTGTGTGCTGGACTTGTTTGCTGGACTTGTCTGCTCGGTGCCGAGTGCACTTCCTGGTCAAGCAAATCGGCGGACTTGTTTGCTGGAACAGCGGCAGACAGGGGTGAGATCCCTCCAGAGCTTGCTAAAGGACTCTTAGTGCAGATGACAGGACCCACACGTCTTGTGCAGGTCGTCGGCCATCCAGCGTCAGGTTTTGCTTACCTCTCAAAGGGAAGTCGTCGCTCGGAAGCAGTCAGTGCGTCGCAGGACCCAATGTGCACTGTCTGGGAGGATGTGTAGGCCTTGTGCGGGAGGCCACACCTGTGAGGTTCGTACGCCTGTGTTTAAGCGCACCTTGTACCACAAGTCTTTGAACAGGAAAGGTCGGCTCGAAGATGTTTGGCCGAGACAGTACGAACCCCGTGCCGAGATTGACCAACGCGTTCAGGCGTTGGCTCCGCGTGGGGTCGGGGGACAGCATGACCCAGATCCAGAGCCTGATGATCTAGGCCCCGCCGCTGCAGCAGGAGAGGCCAGCAATCCGTTTAACCATGTTTGTGCTGAATTATTGCAGCACTACGTTTAACCACATGCTTGCGGACTATGTGTACTTCCAACCACACACTTTTTTTACTTTTAAGCACCCCTCTCAAAAATCTTGCAGCGTACCAGGGTGCTCTGTTTCGCCAGGTCCGCGGGCGCCATTGCGTCGAGGTTCTCCGAGATCTGCGCCCTGAGTGTGGCCCCCTCTCCAGAGCGGGGAGGGATGTGATTTCCAGGTGGAGTCGGGGTCTCCCGCCGAAGTCGGGAGGCAAGTTCCGCGATGTGTAATTGGTTTGACAGCGTACCCCGCCTAGCAGGTCCCCACGCACAGAGGTAGAATAGAACAAATCCTCCCACCGCTAGCAGGGGATATGTCGCTCCCTATCCCAGGCTTCGTGGGGGTTTTGAATGGACCAGAACTTGAAGCCCAACCCTGGGGTATACGATGGGGGGCGCCCAGCCTCGATAGAGGTGCGTCCGAACAGCCCGCTGGGAGCGCATCCCGAGGTCCCCCTTCTTCTCTGAACGGCCAAACTTTGCAAGCGGAGCTCGGGAATTGGGGGAGAGAGAGAGAGAGAGGAAGAGAGAGAGACACACAAACCAACAAACCAACCAACCAACAAAAACGCCGGAGAGGTCTCTCCTCCCACCGCCACTACCCCAAGGCAGGCGATGCCGCGCGCTCGCAGGCTCGAGTGCCCGCTGGTGACCGGGCGCTTCGGCCGCATCAGCGGCCTCTCCGGCTTGCCCACCTGCCGAGGACACGTGGAGGAGGCCCGGGGGGAGCAGCGGCGACGGGAGGAGCGGCGAGAGGAGGAGAAGACCAGGGGGGGAAAACGCCGAGGAGGAGGAGGAGGAGGAGGAGGAGGAGGAGGAGAAGTCACGGAAAAGACGGTGGGGAGAAGGCAGGAGGAGGAGAAGCACGAGGCAGAGCAGGAGGGGGAGGTGGAGGATCATGCAGCCCTCGTGCTGCCATGGGGAGCGCCGAGTGACGAGTGCCGCGCCAGCAGCGCAGGAGCGCCCCGGAAGCCAGGGCCCCGCCGGCTGCTTCCGTGGCGGTGGTCCTCGTTTCCTCGTCTTCGCTGTGGGGGTGAGGAGGCCCCAGGGGGAGGGGGGAAGGGGATGATCGGGAGGCAGAGGTTGCGGTGGAGGAGAGGACGACATGCGTGACACTAAGAGAGAGAGAGAGAGAGAGAGAGAGAGAAAAAAAAAAAAGGTTCCCAGTGCGACCCTACCTAGGAGTGAAAGCAGCATTAGTAGTAACAGTGAAGCTAAGCTAAAGCTAAGCTAAAGCTAAGCTAAAGCTAAGCTAAAGCTACGCTGAAGCTAAGCTAAAGCTAAGCTAAAGCTAAGCTAAGACTGAGCTAACACTAAGCTAAAGCTAAGCTGAAGCTCAGCTGAAGCTAAGCTGAAGCTAAGCTAAAGCTAAGCTAAAGCTAAGCTAACGCTAAGCTAAAGCTAAAGCTAACTATAAGCTAAAGCTAAGCTAAAGCTAAGCTAAAGCTAAGCTAAAGCTAAGCTAAAGCTAAGCTGAAGCTAAGCGAAAGCTAAGCGAAAGCTAAGCTAAGGCTAAGCAAAAGCTAAGCTGAAGCTAAGCTAAATCTAAGCTGAAGCTAAGCTGAAGCTAAGATAAAGCTAAGCTAAAGGTATGCTAAAGCTAAGCTAAAACTAAGCTACAGCTAAGCTAAAGCTAAGCTAAAGCTAAGCTGGAGCTAAGCTAAAGCTAAGCTAAAGCTAAGCTGAAGCTAAGCTGAAGCTGAGCTAAAGCTAAGCTAAAGCTAAGCTGAAGCTAAGCTAAAGCTAAGCTAAAGCTAAGCTAAAGCTAAGCTAAGGCGAAGCAACAGCTAAGCTAAAGCTAAGCTAACACTAAGCTGAAGCTAAGCTAAAGCTAAGCTAAAGCGAAGCTAAAGCTAAGATAAAGCTAAGCTAAGGCTAAGCTAACACTAAGCTAACGCTAAGCTAAAGCTAAGCATAAGCTAAGCTAAAGCTAAGCTAAAGCTAAGCTAACACTCAGCTGAAGCTCAGCTAAAGCTAAGCTAAAGCTAAGCTAAAGCTAAGCTAATACTAAGCTAAAGCTAAGCTAAAGCTAAGCTAAAGCTAAACCTAAAGCTAAGCTAAAGCTAAAGCTAAGGCTAAAGCTCCCAGGGGACTGGGGGAACCGCGGGGCGGGGACTGGGGGAACCGCCCGGGGCGGTTAGCATTGCCCGGCCCCTTAAGCAAAGAGGGTAAGAACCCTTCTAGGCAGAGCATAGGTAGGGAAAAAAAGAGAGAGAGAGAGAGAGGAAAAAAGAGAGAGAGAGAGAGAGAGAGAGGGAGGGAGAGAGAGAGAGAGAGACATAGAAAACAAAGAAGGAGGGAGGGAGGGGGTGGGGAGAGCGGGGACCAGAATCAGCAGCAACAGCGGGAGGAGCAGTATGAGTACGAAGTCATCAGGAGGAAGAGGGAAGCTGGAGAAGAAAAATGAGGAGTGTGGAGGTGGAGGGGGAGGAGGAAAAGGAGACGCTTAGGATGGGGCAGAAGGAGGAAAAGAGCGAGAGCGAGAGAGAGAGAGAGAGAGAAGAACAAGAGGACGAAGATGAGAAGAAGGGGGAACATAGCCCAGGGGTAAGAAGGAGAAGGAGGAGACGGCGGCGGCTGAAGAGGCAGTGGAGGTGAGGGAACAGTAGGATACAGGGGACGATTATAATGAGGAAGAAGGGAGCAGGAGAAACAGGGAAGAAGAGGGGACGGAGGGGGGAAGGAGAACCGCGCTGCGAATAGTACGAGGACGGAGCAAGAATGGGTCCAGTTGAAAGAGGCGAAGGAGGACGAGTGAGGAGGGGAATGAGGTCCAGGGCCGACGCGGTGGGGGAAGAGGTGGAGGTGTCGCCCCTGGGGCAGCGCGGAAGCAATGGCTCAACACACAGACACCGAATACAGCCATCGTGCTACCACAAGGAACGCATGATAAGGGCAAAGTGGCCTTCCTGGCCGTGGCGGGTCTAGGCCATAAACAGGTCCCACGACGAGCCCCCCGAGCCCATCCGGAGCCCAGCAACATCATCGTCATCAGCGTCATCATCAGCAGCAGCATCATCATCACCATCATCATCAGCAGCAGCAGCATCAGCATTATCATTATCATCAACATCATCATCATCATCATCAGCATCATAATCGTCATCAGTACCACCGGCAGCCGCATCATCAGCAGCATCATGAGCAGCACCACCATCAGTATCACAATCATCATCGTCGCCGTCATCGCCTCGTCATCATCATCATCATCAGCATCACCATCATCCTCCTCATTGTCATCCTCATCATCATCATCATCCTCATCATCATCAAACTCACCATCAACCTCATCACCACCACCACCATCATCATTATCAGCATCATCATTGTCATCATCCTCGTCGTCGTCATGATCGTCGGTATCAGCATCATCAGCACCGTCGTCGTCGTAATCATTATCATCAATTTTTGTTATCATCATCATCATCATCATCAGCAGCAGCATTAGCATCAGCACCATCATCGTCATCATCATCATCATCATCATCATCATCACCACCATCACCATCATCAGCATCAGCATCAACATCAGCAGCATCATCATCGCTACCACAATCATCAGCGTTAGCCTCATCGTAATCAGCATCAGCACCAGCATCGTCATCATCACCATCATCATCATTCTCACGATCATTGCAACCAACACTAGTATCATCAACAGCATCATCACCTCGACCATCATCAGCATCATCAGCATCATCGTCATCAGCCTCATCAGCCTCCTCATATACATACTCATCATCATCATCAGCATCAGCATCATCGTCATCATGATAATCGCCGTCATAATGATCATCGTCCTCATCATCCTCATCATCCTCATCCTCATCCTCACCATCAAAATATTCATCATCCTCATCATCATCATCATCATCATCATCATCATCATCGTCGTCGTCGTCGTCGTCATCATTAGCATCATCATACGCGTAAACATCAGCAGCATCATCATCACCATCACCATCACCATCACCATCACCATCACCATCACCATCACCATCATCATCATCATCATCATCATCATGATCATCAGCATCATCATCCTTATCACCATCCTCGCCCTCATCCTCATCCTCGTCCTCATCCTCGACCTCGTCCTCAAACCTCATCCCTCCCCCTCCCGCTCCTCCTGCTCCTCCTCCTCCTCCTCCTGCTCCTCCTCCTCCTCCTCCTCCTCCTCCTCCTCCTCCTCCTCCTCCTCCTCTCTCCCGCGCACCCTCCTCCGCGAGCGCGCGCGCCCTCGCGGGCACCGTCTTCGCCCACGCGCCGCAGCGTCGGCGGGCGCGGGGGCTCCACGGACGCCCCCCCTCGGCCGGGGCACGGGGCAGAGGTGCCGAAGCCCTCGCCGCCGGGGTGCCCGGACGAGCCATCGGCGGGCACGAGCGCGACGGGCTCGGCGGACGGGCGAGCCGATGGCGGGCGACGGGCGAGCCGTCGGCGGGCACGAGGGCGACGGGCGGGCCATCGACGGAGGAACAAGAAACGGCGTGAACAGAAACATGACGAACCAACAACACACGCCCATACCCATAGGGGGGTCGGGGAGGGCTATGGGTGCGTGTTGTCGGATGGGGGTCCCCGCTCGAACGGGAGCGTTCCCCAGGGTCCGACAACCCGCACCCATACCCATAGCCAGTCCTCCTCTCAACGACCCCCCTATGGGTATGGGTGTGTGTGTTGCTCGTTCGTCAAAACACCTGGCGGCGCTTCCGGAGCCGCCCCTGGCGCGCTCCGCGCGCCAGGGAGGGACGCCCCAGCGCGGATCCAAGAGGTCCGCGCGTACCTCCGCGCATGCTTTTTCGGGGGTCCGAGTCGGCCGCCGCGCATGCAGTTTAGTGCTCGTGCCTTTTATGTGTTCTTCTCGACACCGAGACGGCGCGCGGCGGCCGACTCGGACACCCGAGTAAGAAAACACTGCACAACACACAACCTTTCGGAGGTCCGCGCGGATCTCTTGGATCCGCGCTGGGGGGTCCCTCCCTGGCGCGCGGAGCGCGCCATGGGCATGAAGGCGGCGACGCCAGGGGAGCCCAGCGCCGATCAAAGAATGCCGCACGACCTCCGAAAGATTATTACCCCGAAGGGTGCACCACATCTGGTGGTGTGCCAAGCGAGAGCAGTGTTTGAGGAATCCTGCGAAAGCTAAAGGATGTACCCCACCAGAAAAAAATGAGTGCGACACGCTAACCTCCAGGTGGAGACAGATCAGCTGTCACACTGATGAGAGCAGATACTACACTTGATACTACACTGATAAGAGCAGATGCTACCCGACCTCCGAAAGAGTGTGCTTATGGCGTGCTCCCTTCTCGAGTCCCAGTCGGCCGCCGTGCAGTCGATCCGGGCAGCCCTGTCGCAGAAGGTCGGCAGCCCCGTCGTGGCCTTCGGGGCAGGCCGCACGGGAGGTCGTGGTGCAGCCCGAGTCCGCGTTCCGATGCGGGTCGGGGTCCGCCTCGCCCTCGTCGGCCAGGAGGTGGCGCCCAGGAGGCGGCGGTCCCCGTCTCGGCGAGCGTGGTGGGCGCCAATCAGCCCAGGCCGAACGCCGAATACCCCATACCCCCCATCTCCTCATCCTCCTCATCCTCCTCATCGTGCTGCTCCTCATCATCCACTTTCCTCCTCCATCTCCTCGCACCTTCTCTTCCCCTCTTCCATGTCCCACTCCACCTCCCTATCATCATCCTCGTCGCCGTGATATCATTATGCCTCGTCCGTTCCTACTAATACTGCTCTCTCATCGGATTCGCTCGTTAGTGCCACCATCATCGTCGTCCTCACCATGAACCTGCGTGATACCCATCCTACCCACACTCATCGTCCGCTGCTCCTCATCCTGCTCCTCCTCCTTCGACCCTCCAACTCATCCTCCATCTTCCCCACCTCTTACGTCCTCCTTGTCCTACTCCTCCTTCCCATCCTCCTCCTCCTCCTCCTCCTCCTCCTCCTCCTCCCTCCCATTTCGCCTCCTCCTCCTCCTCCTCCTCCTCCTCCTCCTCCACATCCTCCTCCTCCTCTTCCTCCTCTCATCTCCACATCCTCCTCCTCTGCATCCGCCCTCCTCCTCCTCCTCGTCCTCCTCCTCCGCCTCCCCCCTGCTCCTCCTCCTCCTGCTCCTCCTCCTCCTCCTCCTCCTCCTCCTCCTCCTCTCCTCCTCCTCCTCCTCCTCCTCCTCCTCCTCCTCCTCCTCCCCCTCCCCCCCTCTTCATCCTCATCGTCCTCCTCCTCCTCCTCTTCTCTCTCTCTATCTCTCTCTCTCTCTCTCTCTCTCTCGGCCACGGATTCGTCGAACACGGCCATCCCCCCCCGAGGGCCGGTTGGCTGGGGGGGATGATCAAATTTATCCGCCTGGAGACCCCAAAGGTCCCTGGCGTTGGTAACCGTAATACGTATGTGGAGAAAGACAATATAGGGCGACAGGCACACACAGGATAAGAAAACACAGAGCAGGTCATCGTATGGAAGGGGGAGGTAAGTGAGGTATGCGAGTGCGTGGCTGCTGGCACACGCGTGAAGAAGACAGGGGGGGGGGGGCAGCTGGTGCAAGGCCTACACTCGTAAATTCGTGGAAGGGCTGGCGGCTGGTACAAAGCATGGCGAAGCGAACGTAGCGAGGCCACACTGGCCAACTCAGGACGGCGCAAGGGGCTCTCCCCTTAGCCACAGGGCCTCCCTGCCGGACGGCCCCCGGTCACCGACAGGGGACCGTCGTCCGCCGGGGCGGACGAACGGCTCCTACAGTCGGGCCGCTGAAGGAAGGAACGCTAAATAAGGAACGAAGCCCCTTCTTGGCCCTGTAAGCACCTCCGTGCCCCAGAAGGGCAAGAGGAGCAGCACTGGTGGAGCCTAAGCAACATCGGGCCCCTTCCGAACCCAACCTGTGCCCTAGTTCAGCGTCTTGACCGTATGACGAGGCTGGGGGCCACCCTGGGATGCCCAACAGTCGTGGGGGAGCTTACGCCTTCCGGGGGCGGCGGCCCGTCTGTCAGGCAGTGTCCTCCCCGGCATGATACCCCCCCGCCGAATCGGTTCCTAACTCGTGGAATGAAATGGGCGGCTGCAGCGGAAGTTGGCTGGCTGGCGGCAGCGATGACCATTTCAAGTTTGCACAAATTTTAAATATTCGTACGAATAAAGTCCCAAGAATGGCGTACTGACAAGATTCAGGAGTGTCCGGACGCAACAGTCACGTCGATTCCTTGTACTGAAGTCCCAAGAACGGCTTTCCGGCACGATTGAGGACGGCTAGGACGCAACAATCACGTAACTTCGCGGCGCTGAAGTCCCAGGAATTGTGTGTGTGGCACGATTGGAGATTCTCAAAAAGTTGTCTTCCAATAGGGCCCTGCCCGCACACGACTGTAGGACCTACGAAGAAGGAGCCAGGACGGTTGTATTGCAACATCGTTTCCGCGTCCTGGGTTTACACTGGTCCTTCTACTCATCCTCCGCCCTCTCCCTCAAAACTTAGCCCACAGGCTTGTCCTGGAGTGCGCTTCGGCCAGACTTCTGAAGTGGATCCAGCAGTGGCGACGAGAATGCCCCTGGAGGTACATCCAAAGGGCCAAAAACTCGCAAAACCATCGATCCTAGATCCTCGATCCTCGATCCTCCTCCTCCTCCTCCTCCTCCTCCTTCTCGTCATCATCATCATCATCATCATCATCATCATCATCATCATCATCATCATCATCATCATCATCATCAGCATCATCATCACCATCATCATCATCACCATCATCATCATCATCATCATCATCATCATCATCATCATCTGCATCATCATCATCAGCATCATCATCATCACTGTCGTCGCCATCATCATCACCATCACCAGCATCATCAGCATCATCATCACCATCATCATCAGCAGCCGCATCATCATCAGCATCATCATGCTCATCCACATCATCATCATCATCATCATCATCATCAGCAGCATCATCATCGTCGTCGTCAGCAGCAGCATCATCATCATCATCATCGTCATCATCAGCAGCATCATCATCATTATCATTATCATTATCATCATCATCATCATCATCATCATCATCATCATCATCCTCATCATCCTCATCCTCATCCTCATCATTCTCATCATCATCGTCATCATCCCTCCTCTTTCCCCTCCTCGTCCTCCTCCTCCTCCTCCCTCCCTTCCTCCCTCCCTCCCTCCCCTCACCTCCCCTCACCTCCCCTCCCCTCCCCTCCCTCCCCCCCCTCCCTCCCCTCCCCTCCCCTCCCTCCCTCCCTCCCTTGGTCCTGTTCCTAGCTCCCTCTCCTCCTCCTCCTCCCGCCTCCTCCTCTCCTCCTCCTCCTCCTCCTCCATCATCATCATCATCATCATCATCATCCTCTCATCATCATCAACATCAACATCAATCTCATCATCATCAGCAGCATCATCATCGTCGTCGTCAGCAGCATCTCATATCATCATCATCATCGTCATCATCAGCAGCATCATCATCATCGCCATCATCATCATCATCAGCATCATCATCATCATCATCACCATCATCATCATCATCATCAGCATCATCATCATCATCATCATCATCATCATCATCATCATCATCATCATCATCATCATCATCATCATCATCATCATCATCATCATCATCATCATCATCATCATCATCATCATCATCATCATCATCATCATCATCTTCATCTTCATCATCATCATCATCAACATCATCATCATCATCATCATTTTCATAATCATCATCATCAGCATCAGCATCGACATCATCATCAGCTTCCTCCTCATCATCCTCATCATCCTCATCCTCGTCCTCATCCTCATCCTCCTACTCATCCTCATCCTCATCCTCATCCTCCTCCCCCCGTCCCCTCCTCCCCCATATCGAACTTCGCCTTGGGATTCCTGACTCCCCCCCTCCCTCCTCCCTCTCTACCTCCCTCTCTACCTCCCTCCCTCCCCTCCCCTCCTCGCTCCCTCCCCCCCGCTCGCCCACCACCGGCGGCACAGCAGACAGGCCGGCGGGCCGCGGGGAATGGAGGAGGCGCCGGCCTGCCATGTCCCGTGCGCCACGATGCTGCCCGTGGCGCAGGCGTCGTAGACGCTGCTCGCGGGGGGAGGAGCGAGGAGCGGAGTCCGATCGGCGGCGAGCCCAAGGGGGGAAGTGAGGGGAGGGGGGGGAGGAGGAGGAGGGGGAGGAGGAGGAGGAGGAGGAGGAGGAGGAGGAGGAGGAGGAAGGAGGAGGAGGAGGAGGAGGAGGAGGAGGAGGAGGAGGAGGAGGAGGAGGAGGAGGAGGAGGAGGAGGAGGAGGAGGAGGGAGGGAGGGAGGGAGGGAGGGAGGAAGGAGGGAGGGAGGGAGGGAGGGAGGGAGGGAGGGAGGAGGAGGAGGAGGAGGAAGAGGAGGAGGAGGAGGAGGAGGAGGGAGGAGGAGGAGGGAGGGAGGGAGGACGAGGAGGAGAATCGGCGGAGAGCCCGCGGGGTAGTGAGAGGGGGCGGGCCTTCTCTCAGAGGGCTCGGAAGGCCTCGGGGCCTTCTGCGGAGTGTTCCGAGCCTCCCCCGACGACGCGGAGCACTCCTCTCCGAGGGCGCGAGGGCCTCTCCGAGGAGCCCCGCGGCCTGCCGCGAAGGCCTGCACCCTCGCACCTCCCCCCTGGACGCGCCGCCGGCTCGAGTGTACGGAGCGACGGCAGACATTCGGCGGGGTTCGAGGGTACGGGGCGAGGGGCGGGGGCTGAGGAGCGAGGGGCGAGGAGCGGGGGTCGATGGCACGAAGCCACACGGAGCGCCGAGCAAAGAACGCCAGAGCAGTTACGAGGCATCGCCCGCCACTATGCCAACATCAGAAGGGACACCAAAGAAGGAGCGCGAAGTAAGGAACAGGGAATATAAGGACCGCGAATTCAAGAACGCTTCATAGGATGCGAAGCTACAAGTTACGACTACACGGAACGCCACATAAGGAACGAAGCTTCTGGAGGGGGGGCGGGCGGGCAAAACGCCTGGGTGCACGCAGAGCGCTACAGGAACAACCGTGAAAGGGCCTAATGAACAGCGTGCCCCTTCCGAACCCAACGCGGTTCGTGCGTCAGCGACGTGGCTGGACTGGTTCCCCACAGTTCTCCTCGATTTGGGCCTCCGGGGAGTCGCTGCGGCGGGATCCGCCCCGAGATTCTGGGCACGACGCACGCCAAGAGGGGCCCCCCAGAGGAGCGAGGAGCCCGTGGCTGCACTGGCCTTCCGCAGCCCTCCTCGATCGGGGCCCCGTCGGGGAGGCCTCTCGTGGCCACGGCGGAGTCCGCCCCGACATTGTGGGCACAGGGCGCACGCCAAGAGAGAGGCCCCCAGAGGTGCGAGGAGCCCAGACCACCTCGCGTCGTGGCAGAACACCGGAGCTCCTGCCGTGGATCTGCCTGCCCCCCCGCGTTCTCGGCGGCGAGCGAGGGGGGAACTGAGAAGGAGAAGGCCTCCTCTTCCTCCTTACTCCTCCTTCCCCTCCTCCTCCTCTCCCCCCTCATCCTCCTCCTCCTCCTCCTCCTTCTCCTCCTCCTCCTCCTTCAACTACTCCTCCTCCTCCCCCTCGTCCCCCTCCTCCTCCCTCCTCCCTCCCTGCCTCCCTGCCCTCCCTCCCTCCCTCCCTCCCTCCCTCTCTCCTCCTCAGAACTCGGCCACCAGACCTGTCCAGGAGTGTGCCCCGGCGTGGCATTTGGGACGGGCCCCAGCCGTGCCAACGAGGACGTCCCAGGAGGCCCAGCTGGGGCTCAAGAGAGCACAAAAGCCTCAAGCCTCGATCCTCCTCCTCCTCCTCCTCCTCCTCCTCCTCCTCCTCCTCCTCATCCTCCCCCTCCTCTCCTCCTCCTCCTCCTCTCTCCTCTCCTCCTCCTCCTCCTCCTCCTCCTCCTCAGCAAGGAACTCGTGCCGCCGACGGGCGGGTGGTCGATGCCACAAGGTCTGGTGCCCCACGAAGGTGCCGCCGACGGGCGGGTGGTCGTGCCCTCCTCCCCTGGGGCCACCCTCCCGTGCCGCCGACGGGCAGGTGGCCGATGCCGCGGGAGGCGCTGCGGCGGCGGGGGCTCGCTGGCGCAGTCGGTGCGCGGAGCTGCTGCAGCTGAGGGGCTGCCCGCGCGGCGTGCTGGTGGCCGCCGTGCCGCGCCCGCCTCCCACGCGAGCGGCATCGTCGTGGTGCTGTTCGACGGCGGCCTCGCGGAGCCCCTCGTTCCTGCCCTCATCTGAGGTCCGCGCCCCCCTGGCCGCCTGCCGCCGTCTGCTCGGCCCTTCGGGCGGACGGGCGCCGCACTGCTTCCAATGCTCCTCGTCCTCCTCCTCTTCCTCCTCCTCCTCGCTCCTTCTCCTACTCCAGTCTCCCCCCCTTCCCCCAGACATCTGATGTCTCGATTTTCAATACGGGGTCCCCAGAAGTCCTGACCCTTCTCCAGGGCTGGTTTGTCATCCCGAGCCGTTGTTTGACAGTCCTGGAGCCCGGCGAGGGCCCCCAGAGACCGCGATAGGGACAAAAAAAACGTTACAAGAAACCTTCCACGAGAAACCCAACCCTGAGACTCCAGGATGTCCATTGATTTTTGGTGTGGGAACGTCACGCTTTCCATCGCAAAACCATCGAAACCCAAGAAACCTAGGGCACCCAGGAGGCAAGCAGGCTGTTCCTTGGCATGGGCCTCCACTGTACGACGCGAGCATGCCTGGGCCCCCCTGACCCCGCCCGACATCCCCCCCTCAGGCATTGGATACCATAGTTTTCGGTCGCGATCGGTAGCGACCGATCGGCACTCCAAATCGGTCGCGACCGAATCCAAGATCGGTCACGACCCGTCGCGACCGATCGTGACAGGTCGGTCGCGACCGATCGGGCGCGACCGACTTTGAAGCGGATCGGTCGCGACCGACCCTGGAACCTGAAGCCAAATCGGTAGCGACCGATCTCGTCGGTGGCGACCGGAAAACTCCAGTAGCCAATGATCAGAGAGCTCAGGCGGTCCTGCTCTGCCAGGCCGAGCAGCCCTCTGCGCCGAGGCGAGGGAACTCTGGGTGCACGACCTGAGGGCACGCACCGCGGGACACACGAAAAGATAAACAAATGTCAGGATCCCGTATGTGCTGCATGTGGTACGGATGTTCGTCTCCCCTTCGGCTGCCCATGTCTTCCATATGATCATGGGCATCGGCGACTAGTTGAGAGTCTGTGCCCATTTTTTCTCTACTGAGGATCAATCGCACGAGGGATACGGATTCCGAAGGATCGGGGGGTCTGAATTAGAGGGCAGAAAATCCACCCCGATAAGAACCACCCCGACACGCGAAGACGTTTAGTAAAAGGAATCAAACAGGGCAGGGCTGTTGACTAAACGCCCAGGGCAGTTTAGTAAACGCCAATTGTCCGGTCCGGGTGGTTTTTCCTCCCTTGATGAATGGGCAACGTCAAGGGGGGGGAGGGCCATTTCGGGTACGAAGTTCGGGAATCGAGGAGTTCCTGCGCTTTCGTCGGGTCTCGGCAGCTCTCCAGCCTCGGGAGGCTCCCCCCCGCGGCTGCGCCTCTCGCCGCGAGGGCTCCGAGGGGATGCATCGCCCCGAACTTCCGCCGGAGCCGAGCGATGACCCGAACACCAAATAGGAGAGCTACAAACAACACGCCACCACCGGCCCTGGCAAGGCCTATCGTGGGCCCAGGACTGGTGTGCAGGCCCTCCTGGCCCAGGCCAGGAGGTCCGCACACCGATATCCAGGGCCCAGGAGGTGCCTGGCCAGGGCCGGTGGTGGTGTATAGCTGGCGCCCCTCCGAACCAGAAAGTCTAGATGGGGGAGAGGGGTGCGGCGCAAAAGGCTATGGTTCAATGGGGCGGCATGGTGATTTTATGGCTGATGTGGTTCGCTTTGGAGCCGATGCATCAGATCAAGACGTGCATGCGTGCGTGCGTGCGCGCAGGGCCTCTCAAAGGCCCAGGAGAGCTCCCGGTGTGCCGAGGAGGAAGGAGAAAGGCGGGGGGCTGTGCCTGCCCGCGCCACCTGGAGGTGCGGGCCACGCGATCACCCCATCATCGCAGTCTGTGGCCGCCGCTCGCCGCCGCCGACGAAGACGGCGACGGCGGCGACGTCGACGACGGCGACGACGTCGACGCTGGCGCCTGCGACGTCGACGCAGCGACGGCGACCGCGACTGCGGCGGCGACGGCGCCGGCGAGGCCGACACAGCGGCGGCGGCCGCGACCGCGACCGCGGCGGCGACGGCGACACAGCGGCGGCGACCGCGACGGCGACCGAGACGCTGAGCCCCCGACGAGGGCAGTGCAGCTCCCTGTGCCACCCGCGGGCGCGGCGGGCACCTCCGCGGGCCCCGCGCCCGCCTGGCGGGCGCGCTCTGCAGGCGGGCGCGGAAACCGCATTCGGGACGCAGGCGAATGATGATGATGATGATGATGATGATGATGATGATGATGATGATGATGATGATCATGATGATGATGATGATGATGATGATGATGATGATGATGATGATGGTGATGATGATGACGACGATGATGATAATGATGATGATGATGACTGTAATGATGATGGTGATGATGATTATAATGATGATGCTGATGATGATGATGATGATGATGATGGTGTTGGTGATGATGATGACGATAATGCTGATGATGATTGTAATGATGATGACGATGATGATGATGATGGTGATGGTAAGGTGATGGTGATGGTAGCGATGATGGTGGTGATCGCGATGATGATGGTGCTTGTGATGATGACTAGGATGATGATGATGGTGATGGTGATGATGATGCTGATGATCATCATCATTATCAGCAGCATCATGGTGGTGGGGGTGATGTGGTGATGGTGATCGTGATAGTCATGATGGTGATCGTGATGATGATGGTGATGATGGTGATGGTGATGGTGGGGATTGCGGTGATGATGCGGTTGTTGATGATGATGACGCTGTTGATGAGATTGATGGTGATGATGACGACGACGATGATGATGATGCTGACGATGTTTATGATGGTGGTGATCGTGGTGGGGGTGATGATGATGGTCATGGTGATAATCATGATGGTGGTAATGGGGATGGTGGTGATGGCAATGATGATAGTGATGTTGGGATGGTGGTGATGATGATGGTGGTGAGAGTGATGGTGATGATCTGGATGATGATGGTGACAATGATGACGAGAATGATGATGGTGATGCTGATGCTGCTGATGATGCTGCTGATGACCGTGATGATGATGGTGATGATGATGACGATGATGATGATGGTGGCTGTGATGACGATGATCGTAATCATCATCGTCACTATCGTCATCGTCAGCGTCACAGCCATCATCATCCTCGCCCTCATCATCATGGTCGTCACCATCATCAGCATCATCATCACCATCATCATCACCATCATTACCATCATCATCACCACCATCATCATCATCAGCATCCTCATCCTCCTCATCGTCATCGCCATCGCCATCGTCATCGTCATCGTCATCGTCATGCGCGGAGTCCTCTCCGATGCCGATCGAGGACGTTTGATAGGGGCGCGCGGTCGCCCGAAGCCGCGCGAGCCCCTGGCGCGATCGGACACAAGCTAGCGCCCTGTCCGTCCAGCAGCGCGGGCCAAAACCGAATCCTGGCGCCAACTGCTGGAGAGCACAACGATCGAGATAAGATTGTAGCGAGCGGCGAACATGTTCGTATCCGCTCCGTCGCAGTCTGCGTTCTGGGGCGCGATCCCACAGATATGCCTTCGCACGGGTACGTTCTGTGCGGGGCATCTGCGAGCAAACGTGTCGTATCCGCGGGTTCGCGGCCCAAGGGCCCGTCCTGCGATGCCGCGGACACGGATGTGCGTTTCGCCCACAAGATTCGCTGCACCCTCCTGGGGGAAGGGAAGAAGTACCGATGCCCCCCACTGCCAATCCCCTGTGATGGCCCAGTAATCCCGATAATGAACCATGACATACAAAACGGCCATAAAAAGCACGCATTACAAACATGCAGATTTAACACAACCGTTTGCATAAACAACTCACGTCGCAATTAACATACGTAATATATGAGCCTATACATATACATACATATATATATAGATATATGTGTATACATACATATGCATGTATGCATACATGCATGCATTCACGCACGTACGTACGTGTGGATGTATACATGCATGTATGTATACATGCACATATGTATACATGCATGTACACCTTTATACATGTATAAATGTATGCGTGTATGCATGTATGCATGGATGCATGTATAGATGTATGCATGCATGCATGTATGCATGTATGCATGTATGCATGTATGCATGTATGCATGTATGCATGTATGCATGCATGCATGTATGCATGTATGCATGTATGCATGTATGCATGTATGCGTGAATGCATGTATGTCTGTATGTCTGTATGCCTGTATGCCTGTATGCATGTATGCATGTATGCATGTATGCATGTATGCATGTATGCATGTATGTATGTATGCATGTATGCATGTATGTATGTATGTATGTATGTATGTATGTGTGTATGTATGTATGTGTGTATGTATGTATGTTTGTATGTATGTATGTATGTATGTATGTATGTATGTATGTATGTATGTATGTATGCATATATGTCTGTCTGTCTGTCTGTCTGTCTGTCTGTCTGTCTGTATGTATGTATGTATGTATGTATGTATGTATGTATGTATGTATGTATGTATGTATGTATGTATGTATATATAGATCTCTACCGACCACCATATAAATGTCGAGTTTCTGACCGTCGTCGTACTAATTGGTTTCTCGGTTGGGCGTATCATCGGGTTGGTACGGCTGGGCGCGGTCGTTTGGTAGTTTGGAGGCCAGAGCCACTGGGGCCTGTCAGGAGAGCCTTTCGGGGGCCTCTGAGGACATCTTCTGGGTCTCTCGGGGGCCTCTGGGGGGCATGCTGTCGGTCTCGGGGGCCCCTTTTGGACGGAGGGCTCGAAATGTGAAGTCGAGTTCTCCCTCTTGGGACCCTCTGGGGGCACTCCTCTGGGGGCCCTCTGCGGGCGTTTGGGGACCCTCTCGAGAGCCTCTTGGGCCGTCTTGGGATGATCTGGGAGGCCTGCTGGGCCGTCCCAGACAGGAATGGGACGAATGTTGTCTCTTGAAGCTCTCATGGGAGGACTCTGGAGGGCCTCTTGGGCGTCTTGGAGGCCTCTTGGGCCGTCTGAGGCCATCTGGAGCGTCTTGCACCGATAGCTCGGCTGCTCGGGGCCCTCCTGGACCGCCTGTGAGGCCTCTTGTGGCCCTCTTGGCCTGGCTTGGGGCCCTCTTGGGCGCTCTGCGGCCCTCCAGGGGCGCTCTGGACCAAGACCGGCCGGCGCGCCCGAGATCAAGGCAGATCCGTTTTCTATGTATGTAGATACCCATTGTGTTAGTACAGCTACATGTGTATTGGGATAAGGACGCCTGCCCCACAGAACATGCAACATAATGCACATGAGCAACTTACATGACACAACGACGTAACACCTTGCACGAACGACGGGAGATGACAAGCAAAGCGGGCACGAATAACATACCCCGGCAACAAACATGAAGGACTGGCATACCAAATATGCGCACCCCCCCCAGATGTAAGCGAAACATTGAAATACTCGGATCACTGCCACTAGTGATACAAGGGCAAAGGTGAAGCATACATGAAGAACACGCGCACAGAACAGTTAAGCGAAAATGTCAGGCGCCTATAACACATGTGAAAGGCATGCGTACCTAAATTATGTACACGATTTTAGAGGTGCCATCCACAACATTTGCAAACAGCATGCGCCAATATTTCGCGTTAGAAACAAAAATGAATGACTGCACAATGTCTGCCCCTAGTAAAATACAAATCAGCATCCCAGCTGCATTGTATAGGAAACATACATCGGATACAAACATAAGAAGCCTGATCACATAGTAGCGATGCATACTGCATACAGAACATGTGAACATAGCGTACGCGCACAACAGACGAACTGGCATGATACACATCGTACCTACATACGTACAGAACACGCATACCTAAAAGATAAGCGTAACATGTCGGTAATCCTCTATGACAAGTACAAATGTACGTATGGCTACAAGTACACACGTGTTTGCATAAACACGTCCGACCTCGGACACCAACAACTCCCGCAAACGCGTATGCCTGCGGATGCCTGAGGAAATCCATGCACAGGCTTGGGCTGACGCGCGTTGAAAGACAAACGGGTGCACAAGAAAGAAGGGGGAAAAAAGGCGAAAGGGAAAACATGAAGAGGAATAAGACGGAAAAGACGGCGACTCTCCAAGCAGAAGTGCGCACATAGTGGGAAACAGCGGCATGTCCAGTCCTAAGCGGATGTTCGTAAAAATATTATGTATACCAGCAGCACGGCATACCGACGAGGCATCAGGAAGCGCGTACGCAATTGAAGGACATGCGTGAATCAACTCTTGAGCATCGAAATAAACAAAAGACGTCGAATTAACGACTTCAGAGCAATCAGCTCCCGCCTGTCCTCGGCCGCGCCTGGTGCGCCCGCGGCCGCGGCGCCGCGCACGGGGCGGCGGCGGCGCGGCTGCAGCCCCCGAACACCCGCCAGTGTAGCTTCTTCCAGCCCGCGGCCCAGGTGGGCTGGCGCGGGGCAGGATGTTCGGGGCCGCCCCGGTGCCCCCGGCGGCTCAGCGGCCGTGGGCCCCGCAAAGGCAGGGCCAGGAGCGACCTGCTGACGGTCAGCGCGAAGATCACGGACCAGAATCTAGCTGGCGACGAACGGTATGAGATAAACTGGTCCGCCATCGGGGATCGGGGACGCCTGCCCCCCGGGCGGCTGCAAAGTTGATACCCCTACGGGGCACCGTAGGGGCATCAACTTTGCAGCCGCCCGGAGAGCAGGCGCCCCCGACGGCGGAACAATACCGTTGTTCCCCTCCTACACACTCGAGGCGTGTGCACAGCTCTGCCCCCGCGCCGTCGTTGGTCTCATCGTGCATCCGGTGACCTCCATCGCGCCGGCGATGGCGAGGCCGTGCGAGCTCTGGGGGGCTCGACCCCCACGGGGGGGGCAGCGTCCCGCCCCAGATCCGCTTCCGAGGGCCCCGGGGCCCGAAGGACGGCGCCCGAGGGGCGACGTCGACGGACAAGCACCGGATCGGAAAAACCTCCTCTGCGAGGATCTGAGATTCGGCTGGGTCTTCGTTGGGCGCAAAGTCATGGGTGGCGATGAGTGTGTGGAGGGGGGCGGGAGAAAGGTGCCCTCTCCGGACCCAACATGCCCCCTCTGAGGCCCGAAAGGGGCCCATCAGGGGCCTTAGAGATCCCCTTTTCGGCAGCCATCGTAGCCCCCCAGCGCG